AATCAAGGATGCCCTAACTAAAAACTAGTTATATGGAATAAATTGGAACAAATACGAAGGATAAAGAGTTGTGATAAAACTAGAAGTTACGTAAACTTCACTACATAGGAACATTTGCGAGTAAATATAATAGCATTAAAAATTTACAATAGAAGAGATCGAAGATTTTCATCAATAAAGCTCTTTTGGGAGAACTTTTGTACTTACAGACTACAAGGCACATTGTTTTTTCTTTTCTTTTGAGCTTAACTATGGAAGTTTTATTACTCAATAATCAAAGGTAAAAAGGCAAAGCTTTGTGGCCCATTTTTTTTAGAATAATAGGGAGAGCTCCCTGGCTCCATTCATAGAAAGAAGCCCGAGCAGATCATGTCCAATTATAAGGTTAAAAAATAGAAGCTTAAGCTTTAGGAAGCAAACCACAAAGCTAAAGAAAGTAGCATCTACATAATGTATCGACCACAAAACAATTTCTTACCCGAAAGCATTATTACATTGATAAACACAAAAAAAATCAAGCCAAGGCGATGTTCCGGCTTCCCCGTGATGTTGCCACCTGTGTCTGGCCAGATGATGATGGATGTCATCACACCGAGAGGACCCTAAGAATATCTCTCCATCTCTAGAGGAGCAAATTCCACTCTCGAGCTATCGAGTCCCTTATCAAACTTTCTGATGAATCTGTAAGTTGTCATTATGATCACCGAGTTTGAGCAACCCCAAATCTCACCGTACGGTAAGAAGAGACTACGATACTCTCATGGTCTAAGGAACTAAAACACGCATTAACACTCTGTATTATAGCAATTGACTTGTGACGATATCATCTCCAAGTATAACAAACAAAATTCGGGACGATTCAATATGATCGTTCTTCTAACATCATATTCTCAATGTTTTTTAGGACTATTGTTACACTTAACGATATCCTAAGATCCGGAAAATGTGATCACCAACAACACTTGAGCTAGTCTTAGAGGCGAGACTAGGAATCTTATTTTACTATCTATCGTCCTACACATGCATATGGGCTTTCCACCGTATCACATATTACAGGATCATAGCAGTTATAATGTAGAATATAAACTCTTAATTATGAAAACATAAATATAATAATACAATATTATTGCCTCTACGACATACTTCCAACAACAACCTCCAGAGTGGAGTTAGAGCTCGCTAAGACAACATCAATGTGCCGAGCCTTGTTTGTTGCATAGTCATCATCTCCTTTCCTATGATGTACTTCAGGGAGAGCCTCGAGCGGTTAAACATTCACTCTCGGAATATGTATCGCCCGTACTCTATCTGGAAAGGGATATTGATCATCCATACCACATGAATATAAAACAACTCCACTTGATCCAACATGTGATCTATGAGGACCAGTCTCGATTTTTTATCAGTCTTGTAACCAGCCACCAAATATGACTAATAGAGATCCGGGAAAAACATTAAAAGCAAATTCATGTGTTTCCACAGGGCCCAAAGAATAACAACACACATATTATTCAAAGCATCAAATTTTCTTCTAGACGCCCAAAGAGAAGCAACAAACTCCAAGTTGCTTCCCAGGGATCTGTCAAAATTCACTAACTTTAGTCGAAACTTGCCTAGCTACAATGGTATCAAAGAACACACATTGGATAGTTTCACCACAAAAACAAAAAACATAGTCTTCGGGCTACTTGAGATTTCTCTTCTTGAGGTTTTCCCTAGTCATGAGCTTATTCTGGAAAGTAAGCCACAAAATTACATGAATTCTAGGTGGGATTAATAGCTTCCAAACCGAGGGAGGAAAACAGGAACCACACCCCTATAATTTATGATTGCATAAAGAGAGCTAGAAGAGTTTTGCCAAAAGTTTTCATATTGCCAAATTAAAGAGTCATTGGAGTATGAATAGGAAATACTCTCGGCAATTTCCTCAAGCTCAAACCAAAGTATCATCATTGGCTCATCAAAGTTTCTCCTAAAGGTTAGCTTAAGAGTCTGACCATCCCCAATATGACGAATGGTTTTGCATTGTTCTCTATAGACACAGTAGAGGTCCCAATATTGAACAACAAGGGGGGATGACACAAACCATGAATCTTCCCAAAATCTATTGCTCTTATCGCCCCCAATATCCATCTAGACCCAAACTTCACTACTTTTGTTGCCCACATAACCCATTTCTCGAAGTTGGAGGCCCAAAGAGCATCACTACATAAATTTTTAGGAAATTAAGGTTGGTATATGGGATCAACCAATTTCCTCCGAACCCTACCCTCTCGTGCCCTGTGTATTTTTACCCAAGAGCCCAAGAGGAAAATGTTGAGGTCATGCGGGTTAAGAATACTAATAAGCCCCCAAACATCCAGTTCATACACATTAACTACTAGTTAGCTAAATGTATTTTCCTATGCCCCTCAAAGTCATTCCACGGACAAGTATCCATATGGGAGTTGATAAGATCTAATGCCCATTTAGTGAATCTGAAAAAGGATAGGAAATATATAGGAATGCTAGCAAGGCAAGACTTAATAAGACTGATCATGCCTCTATAAGATAAAAGCTTTACTCTCCATCCAAGAATTCATTTTCAAGATTTTATCAATCAAAGGTTGAAGGCCCTCTCTATACAGCTTAAAATCACTTCTTGAGATTTTAAGAATACTTCCTTAAAATCACTTCTAAGTAGGGTGGCCCATAGAGTACATGACACACTACTAGCATCGACGATTCCCTATAAGTTTATTCATCATTAAAACCACACCGTTCATGGTGAAAATGAAGGCAATCTGTTTGGGCCCTCAGATTTAGTATGCATTACTAGTAGTAGCCTTTTTATTTATATTTTTTAGACGACTTCTGTTATTTTATATAGATGGGCCGCCTCTGCTCAACAGATCTTCCACTTTGCCTCTCTGGGCCGCCGCTGTCCTGGTGCGCTTGCGTATCCTGAGTCGCGACTTGTCTGGCGTACTACAACAGCCCCAGCCAGGGCCAGTGACCAAGTTCCATCAGGAAACAAAAACAGCGATTTAGAGGATAGCATCTGCTTCATAGTTTGCAAGCCAAATTTCTGCCAACACTGCTGAGTGGCACGATTACAACTCCACCACGGCCAAAGTCCAGTCAGTTGCTCCCAACAAGTGGAAGGCGCCACCGATTGATTGGGTCATGATTAACCTTGATGCCTCTTACCAGCCATCCACATGGCTAGGGAGGATGGGGTGCATCTCCAGGGACACAAGCGGTGATGTGATCTGCGCTGTTGCAGGCAATCTCTCAAACATATCCGTCGTGATTCATGCTCAAGCTGTGGCTCTCATGAAGGCAATCAACATGGCTGAGGGTTTAGCATGGGACAGGTAATCTTCATGACGGACTGCCTTCCTCTACAACAGGTCATTGTTTCTAACTCGTCAGGTAGAAGCCAGCTCGGGAGCATTTTTAGAGAGTCCAAATACTTCTCGAGATGGGGTTCATTCAGCATAAAGTGTTGTTTAATCATCGTTCTTGCAATGAACTAGCCCATTTGCTGGCTAGTCTAGGTTCAAGGTTGGCTCCAGGTGGTGACCGAATGTGGCTCACCAACTTTCCACCGGATGTAATGGGTGTTGTGGCAGGCGATTCAGCCGTGTCCACTAGCTAATGGAATGCTAGGTGTTCCATGTAAAAAAAATCTAGAGTAGGAGCGACCGAGTGAGCGAACCGTCCCTCCATCCGTTTCTTCGTGTGGCGGCTAGGGCTAGCGTCCCAGCGACGTAGACGGCAGATCAGATCGGCAGGCCGACAGGACCAGGAACGCTTGAACGGCAACCAGGACAGGAAGACAGGGAAGGTTTGCTTCAATTCATCTCCGATAACCGGTGATTCCGTGAGCCCTTGATCTTCACTTTGAGTTGTTCCGATTTCGTTCCCTATATAGTTTCGCTAAAATCTTGTATTGCTAGTTTTGTTCTTTCTATTAGGTGTGTAGTATTGCAAGATCTAAGTCATGTCTTTTTTTTAGAAAACAAGACTCTGGTTAAAATCGTTTGAAGAAACAAAAACTCGGGGTTTTAACTTGATCTCGAGACAAGATACAGATAAGTTTATTATATAAAAAAAACCACAAGTGTCATCTGATAATCGGTCACTTGATCAAGAGCATGCACATGATAATAATAATGACAATGCTCCTAGCCCTAAAGATGGCCAAAGACAGAAAATAACTTTGAGGGTCAAGAAAATTGTGATCTTTATATTATTATATAGTTATGTAGTTTCTCTAGTGTGCCGGGGCCTATTTTAGAGTTTGGCACAGGGCCTCGGACTTTGCCGGCCCGGCCTGGTCTCCGATGATCTATATATGGACATGACCTTGTATGGCCCTCGATCTTGGTTGTTGATCCCTCTAACCAAAACTTGACAGTGAGACGCAATATGAACCTGATGGAATTCACACCCGACAATTCAAATCCGATGTGGCGTACAGTTTTTAGGGAATTTTTTAAGCAGGTGGACCAGCCTTAGGTCGGGCCTGGTTAGGCCGAGAGCTGGCGCACTGCCGGCCCATCTCACCGTCTCGTGGGCCACTACTTCGGTTCGGTTGCAAACATAAACGGTTTCGCAATTCTCAAGCCAAGAAAAATATATATAATGGTTTCGCCCCCGTAGTGTCGTTCGTGCCTTTCTTCGCCGGATCTCGCAACAAATCCTCTTCGCCGGCGCCAGCGACAGCGCGGGGGTCGCCGCCTCTGCCCGCACATAGCCACCCTCCCCCACACCGACACCGTGCACTACCATCCCCACTGACGCGACCCAGACCCTTCTTCCTCGAACCGGCGACGCGATCCCTTCTGCTGTTGGTAAGCAAACCCTAGCCCGATTCCTTCGGCTGCTGTTCGTTTTGCTCTGCTTCTGCCTTTGCATCGCTTCGGAGAATCAGTCGGCGCCATCCGATCGCGGAAAACCTAAGCGGAAACCTAAAGTCATAGTACGTATTTTCAGGGAGGATAACTGAATTTGGTATGGGTGAAAAGGCGTCAGAATCATTGCGCCAGGGCCGGGAGGAGGCTCCAAGGAAGCAGCAACACGCTGCGGCTTGCGGTCCTCTGGCTGTCGCAGGACCGGCCATCGCAAATGAGGGCCGAGGCGACGCTCCGCGGAGTAAGATCCTTATCACAGAGATGGATGAGTTCGTGTTGGGCTTACAACTGAATGCAGGTAACCTGCTTGACGTATTTACTTTCTGTATGAATTGGGACTGCACAGGACTTGACTAACAACTCAAGTGTACTGATGTCGCGTATCGTTTGTTTTGTAGAAACATGCAAGCGAGAAGCGCGTGACGTGTTTGCGGACGAAGATGACGGTGCGGCGTCTTCAGGCACTCTGTCAAAAGATGACAAAAGCGGGTCGGCGGCAAGGAAAATGACAGCTGGAATTGAAGACCAAGTAAAGGATGGAGAAGATGCAGCAGTCAAACCGGACGAGGTTCTGCATGAAGCTGAAATTGGCAAAGGTTTGGCTGGTGCTCTGAGGCTTCTTAAGGACAGAGGGACACTTGATGAGGGTGGTGAAAAAATCAGTGACAAGAAGAAAAGCAAGCCTGTTGGTATCAAGGATGGACCAAAAGAAATTAACATAGAGAGAACTGATGAGTTTGGTCGAGTGGTAAGTACTAGATCCAAATGTTTTTTTGTCTGCATTCATTTGTCATCAGGAATAATAATAGATGACACACAATGATAACATTTCTCAGAGCCTGATGATTTTGTCCACAGATGACTATGAAGGAGGCATTTCGGGAGCTTTCACGCAAATTCCATGGCAAGGGCCCTGGCAAGACGAAGCAGGAGAAACGGCAGAGGAAGTACCAGGATGAGTTGAAAACCAAGCGGATGAAATCTTCCGACACGCCTTTAATGTCCGCGGAGAAGATGAGGGAGGCCCAAGCGCGCAACAAGACACCATACCTTGTTTTAAGCGGCAATGCAAGATCAAGGCATGCTGGCTAGCAACATACTTCTAAATTGTTTACTTGCCTAATCATTTTGACATCCTCAGGCCTTCATGCATGGAAAATGCACAGTTGTTTTCTTTGGTTCTATACGGGGATTGGCGTTCAATAGTATTCTCTTTGCTAAAATTTTACACTCTTATTTAATCTTGAGCTCAACTAATTCATGGCTGTTTGGGTCATTAGTAATGATGGCCGTTATTCCACATTATGTCGTAAACCCACTTAAGCCTCCAATGCAGACCACTAGATCATGTTTGGAAGGACCAAAGGAGGCCTAGATTTAGGCCCAGTTTAGAACAAAAGAACTTTACAAGAATTTCGTAACAATGAATTCATATAGGAAAACTTTCCTATGTACTCTATAGATTGTAGGATTTGCTTTAAAAAATCCTATAGGAATCCTTCCTTTTCCTTCCAGTGTTGGAGGATTCTCAACATTTGCTCAAACCTTGTGTTTTCACTTCTTTTGAGAAGTCCAATGCAACATGTGTCTTTATCTCTCCTAAAGAAACAATTCCTGCAAAAAGTACAGTTCCTGCGTTTTTTACATTCTGTAGGAGAGAAGCATAACTAGGAGATGTTCATATTTGAGTTGGTCTAAATTTTTATTGCGGCTATACTAACTGATAGTATGGAATGGTGCGCATGCACTATATGTTTGCATCTTGTGGTATTCTTGGGACAAGAACAAGCTTCTCCTTCCGACGCATCGTCACTCCAAACACGTCGGCCATGTCAACGTCCTCCTCCCGCATCCCATCGGGGAGCTCCCAGTCGAAGCAATAAACAAGGTTGGCAAGCATGGCCTCGACCGTGGCGAGCCCAAAGCCCATCCCGGGGCAAATCCTCCGCCCGGCTCCAAACGGCAGGAATTGGAAATCCCTCCCTTTGAAGTCGGCAGCTGCTTTGGCCCCGTCTATGAACCTCTCCGGCCAGAACTCCTCCGCCTTCATCCCCCAGGACTCGGTGTCTCTGCAGAGAGCCCACGCGTTGATGATGACGCGTGTCCCTGCCGGGACCATGTAGCCGTTGACGTCGTCGCACTCGGCCATGGAGAGGTGTGGGAGGAGGAGCGGCGCCGGTGGGTGGAGCCGGAGCGTCTCCTTCACCACAGCCTTGAGGTAGGACATGTTGCCCAGATCGTCCTCCTTGACTGTTTGCTGGGTCTTGGGTGTCTTGCTCCTCACGTCGGCCTGGAGTTTGGCCATGAGGTGTGGCTTCCGCATGAGCTCCGCCATGGCGAACTCCAGGACGATGGATGACGTGTCTGTGCCCGCAGAGAACATGTCCTGTTTACATATTTGGAATTATATATCAATGAAAATTAACCATCAGAAATATTAATCAAATAATTAAAAATTACTCCCTCTGTTCTAAACGTTCTTATATTTTTTTAAGAGGGAGTAGTGTTTAGTTCAGAGGGAAACGTTCAGGAAGCTAAGCGAATTACCAACAAGATGGCCTTGACGTTGTCTCTAGTGAGATTGTACTCGTGTTGAAGAGAGAGGAGAACATCTACCAAGTCTCTGTCTTCATCTTGTTGGTTTTGCTCTTGCTCATTGGGTTGATGCTGATGTACTCCTACTAGCCATGGTGATTTGGTCGCGTGGTCGTCTATGATCTTGTCGAGCAACTCGTCCCATCTCTTCTTCAGCCTCCTCGTCTTGCCGAGCACCACTCGCCGGAGAAGACCTACCTTGGCCAAGCTCGGGAAGTAGTCCTCCAGGTTGAACCCCCCTATCGCAGCCACGTTCCCGGCGATGAGCTCCCGGAACAGCTCGTTCCTGCCTTCCTCCCTGAAGAACTTCCCGGACACGGCGCGGCATACGACGTCGTTGGTGAAGCCGCCGAGCAGCTCGGTCATGTCGACGGCAGAGCGGGCGGCCGCGGCCGCCCGGAGTTTGGCCACCACAAGGCGCACCTCCTCCTCGCGGCCGCCCTGGAGCGCGCGCACCTTCCGGGCGCTCAGCAGGTGGGTGGTAACGAGCTTCCTGGCCTGCCGCCAGTACTCGCCGTAGGGGGTGAGGGCGACGTCGGAGGGGCCGCTGAGGAGGACGCCGGCGACGATGGACGGCGGGCGGGAGGCGAAGACGTGGTCGTGCGTGCGCAGGACGGCCTCGGCGGCGCTCGGGGAGGAGACGACGAGGTTGGGCACCTGGCCGAGGCGGAGGAGCATGAGGCCGTCGCGGCCGGCGTGCTTCCTTGAGAGCTCGGCGAGGGAGATGTGCGGGTCGGGGCCGACGAGGTGCAGGTGGCCTATGAGAGGGAGCTTCGGAGGCGACGGCGGGAGACGGCGGCCATGATCACTGCAATTGTTCGCAGATCGTCTTGCCAAGTAGTAGCGGCGTAGTACGAAGAAGCAGAGCAAGAGTGAGAGCAGAACTTCCGGGGAGAAGATGGTGAGTACTTGAGCCATATCGCCTCGCATCCTCTAACACTATGGCTGAGAGTGGATGCAGAACTCTCTTGTTGGGTGCGTGCACGCTTTTATAGCTGAGGCTGGATCCGTGGATGCAATTCATGCCAATCAAACATGTCCTCAACAAGAGTGCAACAATTGTGCACGTATGAGCCGCTGAGGGTGGATCCGTGCACGTATATCTCTTTTTTATTGCGGGGAACAACGTATATCTCTTTCGGTCCACATAGTTGCGTTCTCTCTAGAAAACATGTCCTCAACAAGAGTGCAACAATTGTGCACGTATGAGCTCGTTCTTATGAAGCTAGCCAAAATTGCATTTTAAATCTTAGGATTTCGTTAAAAAAAATGGTGGGAATGCGTCATTACAAATATTCATTTAAGACATTACTATATGTGACATGTGCAAATATAATTATATAACTTTCCACAGAACAAGTTCCTAACATTTATTATAGTCTGTTGTACATCATTCCATTTACTGTAAATCATATTTCATTGTTAGTATTAACTACGTCCATAAGTTTTCTACTCCAATTTTTCTAATCAATACTCGAGCTCGAGGTAGGATCTGATAGACTGAGCTTCGTAGAAGCATGAGCAGACCTCGAGCAAGTAACGATTGGGCATTCAAACTTGTTGCTAGGATCACGCTCAACTGGATCAATCGAGATTAAACTGGCACTCCAGTTTGCTGCTAGAATCAAGAGCGACTTCATTGAGGTTGGTAGAACCTTGAGTGAGACTGAACTGCAATTAATTATTATGCCTGGCTATAAGCTTTGGCAAGCCTTAAATTGACACTTGAGCTTGTTGATAAGATCGAGCTTGAAGAACCTCAAGTGAGCCTAAATTTGCATTAGAGCTTGTTGCGAGGCTGAGATCATTTCGACTGACGCTTTGACCAAGATCGATGGAAGCTTAATCAAAATTAAATTGGTGTTATAGCTTTGTAACAAGCTCGAGCTCGTAAAATCTCAACATGAGCTCAACTTAGTCCGATTAGCATTTGAGCTTGATCCTAGGCTTGAGTTCAGGATTGAATAAAGTTTGTAAAGGTTGAGAAAAGTTCAGTGATTATGAAGATCATTGTACACTAATGTAGAAGTGGAAATAAGTTTGACAAAAAGTTAATCACCATTTAGAAAATATTATTATTTTAGTTTCTTTTCAAAATAATCAAACTCACATTGAGTGTCACAATACATTTCCAATCATAGACTTCAGTTTGAGCGGTACTATAGTTAACAGTCATGAATTGTGTGTCTATTTTTCTTATTAAATGTGTATGCTATATTGTTTTGCCGAAACCGTCGGTTCTTCTGTTTATCTGTATTACATCACTAAGTCTTTTGGAGTTAGTTTGAGATATTATCGTATTGTGTTTAATTAATTTCTAATCATAATAACGATGAATAGTAGTACAAATAATTAATCGCCCCATGACAAGTTAGAATGAATGGGTAAAATTATTTGTACTAAACTTTTTTATTTCATTATAACTCATTCTTTGACTTATAATTTGACCCAATATTATTTTCTACTACTCTTTGCAAAATAAACCACATAATTTTGATACAATGTTTTAGTCCACAATTTTAATGTATATCATGCATAATGCAAAATAACATCAAATTTAGAGGATACATTACAAAGGAAAAATAATGTACGGTGTTTTTACTTTTCGAAAGGCTACCCTTAAATATATTTTTCTAGGAAAATATTCTAGATTAAGTAGTTTTTAAAAGAAAAAAGCAAGTCTTCACATATTTATTTATGTCATGTAGATGCATTGCAATATTTGTACGTGTTCATATCTATCTCATGGTATCATCAAATATCATGGCCGACGACTCTGAAGCTAATTGAATTTTCTGTTGCAAAATTAATGAAATATTATAGAGTATATATCAGTGAGCTAATAAAAAATTCTAGAGTATTCACAAAAAATGAAGGATTTGTCATTGAGTTTTTGACATTGCCTGTTTATCGGTTCTTTCTTAGCCAGATAGATATATCTTTTCATGTTCCTCTTTGTCGGAAAATTCTTTCAGTCTCCTAGTTTCAGCGGGTCATGGGTATCACATGCGTACCTTTCCCTTGATCTGTGGAAAAGTCATTTAGCTTAACTCATTTAAAAGATGGTCACTTTTTTCTTATTGGTCCTTCGTTCCTAACTATAAGATGTTTTACGTTTTCTCTATTTTCTCATATTTGTATGCATCTAGACACATTTTTGTTGGGTAACGTTGCATGGAAAATAAAAAAAATTCTACGCACACGCAAGATCTATCAAGGAGATGCATAGCAACGAGGGGGAGAGTGTGTCTACGTACCCTCATAGACCGTGAGCGGAAGCGTTTCACAACGCGGTTTATGTAGTCGAACTTATTCGCGCTTCAACCGACCAAGTACCGAACGCACGCCACCTTCGCGTTCTGCACACGTTCAGCTCGGTGACGTCCCTCGCCTTCTTGATCCAGCAAGACGTCGAGGTAGTAGATGAGTTCCGTCAGCACAACGGCGTGGTGACGGTTATGTGAAGTGATCCTCGCAGGGCTTCGCCTAAGCACTAC